TCATCTCCCCTTGTACGTCTCCTCAATAGTTTTATACAATTTTTATATGTAAAATCGCTATACTGAATAGCGCTTAAGTCAGGTGTTGCCATAGGTAAAACTAAATAGAATTACATAACGTAGAAAAAACATAATTGCAAAAATTATATGAGCAAGAGGAAGAATTGTAAAAATTATATGAGCAAGAGAAAGAATTGTAAAAATTATTTAAGCAAGAGGAAGAATTGTAAAATTTGTATGAACAAGAGGAAGAATTGTAAAAATTAAGTGTGGGAAGTCTCCACTATATATAAATAAAACATTAGATATTTGAATATCTTTTAAAAAGATGCCATAAGTTTATTTTGAAGAACAATAATAGAAAAGATCGCAAAGTGTCCAAGTAAAATAAATAAATAAATAATTGATAATTGATATTTGTTACATTTTCAAATCTTCGTTTTATTTGCTTGTTGTATAAGATAAGAAAAATTTATTTAATCAGAAAATAATCCTACAAGTGTTTTGAGTAAAAAATTTTCTGGTCAAATATAAACAAAATAACAATAAAAATTTTTCAGGGACAATTTTTCTTAGGTTTTGTTTACTTCTATCAAAAATCAAATGTATTTTTTTTCATATACATTCTGAGTGGTTTTTATTCATTTTCAGAGACCTGGCGTTTGATTTTTAGAAATTCTGAGAGACTATTAGCTTGATTTTCAGAAATTCTGAGATACCGTTGAAGTGCTTTTTGGTTCAATTTCTATGCAACATGTGTTTTTCAGGCTAAAAGATTTGCATTATTGAAAACACCTAAGAGATGGTGGGGAAAAATACTGTAACTTGAATTAATTAAGAATTAGAAGAACAATAATAGAAAAAATTGGAAAATGTCCATAATAAACAAATAAATAAATAAACGTTTTATTTCCATGCTTTACCCAAGCATAAGTTTTTATGCTCGGACACGAAATCGGACTTTTCCGATGCCAATTCAAATATCTTTGGTGGTGGTCCCATATTTAAGAGTTTAGCTTTTAAAACCACATTTTCCAACGGGCATCGCAACATTTCCAGCGTGCTAAACCGTTCCATATAAGTCTGAAAATAAAAGAGTATAAACACATACAATAATACACTTAAAAAAAAGTTTACAATAACTCAAACCTCATAGTAACAATTGCGTACTAAACGATAAACACGACCCTTCATAACACGCCCAGCACGTCGTGCTGACATCAATTAGCGTGAGAGGCCCAATGAAATTGCAATGATGTGAAATTCCTGGTCGGATCAGTAGAGAGTGATTTCGCTAAGCAAAAGCAATGTCTTCGGGAAAAATGTAAATTAAATTTACTTGTAAAAAGTTTATATAATAAAAAATTTAATACAATTCCATGATTTTAGGGAAAAAATTGTTCTAATCTCATATGCAGGTAAAGTTATTTATTAAACTATTCTTGTTTGAAAATGTGCTTTGAAATGAACATAAAAATACTTTACCACAGTCTTGATAAATCTTGATTTAAATTTAGATTCAGATCATAAAAATCGTTTGTTTTAAAGGAACCTTTGC